CTCTGGGTGGACTCCTACTTGGAGCCTTCTGGTTAGCAGTCGATCATGGCACCCATTTCTGCCACCCAGGGACACCAGGCCTATCCCGTTTTCCACTGAAGCATTACAAACAACCAGGTGGAAATGGAACAAGTGACCTTGGCCTTTATGGCCATGCACTCTAAGGCCATGCACCCCAGTCACCCAGCTCAGCTGTGTGGCAGTGAGCATAACAGAAATGGGTATGAGAAGTTTCAGGCTAATCTCTGAACTGTGTTATTTGTTATCTTGCTTTATGGTCCTTGAGTAGTACATGTAGGAGGTCTAAGGTGACGGGAATCTGAAGCATTTCTGAATTTGATCATGGCTTGAGTTAGTTCACTTTTAGGCATATAAGTTGTATGTTTTTATTGGTTGCACATGTGTGGGGCCGCATTACCTGATTTTTTTAAAAAAAATCACTTTTTGTCTTATTAGCATTGTAAATCTATGTAAATCTCCAGCCTTATTCTTTTTCATAGTTAAAAACTTTTTTAAATGATAAAAGCCATATATGTCTATTATAGAAACTTTGAAACAACACACATTCAAAGGAAAAAAATGAGTGTAGCCTCCCATTGCTCAGAGATAACACAATTAACATTTTAATAGATGTGTTTTTTTTTCTGAGGAACACTTCTGGCAGTCCATAGCACTGTCCATATTCTTCTCTAGCGCCATAATTCAAGTTCATCCACTCTTTTTAGGTCTTCTTTACTCAGTATCCAACTTCGTGTGCACTGAGGTCATTGAAAATACCCTGGCCTAGATGAAGCACACCTTAGTCCTCAGCGTGACGTCCTCACTACTCAACACTTCCAAGAAGTTGCGTGCAGCAGCGTTGCCCGGTGCAGTGCAGCAGCTGATTCCCTGAATGCTCCTTTCATGAGCATTGATTGTGGGTCCAAGCAAAATGAAATCCTTGACAACTCTGTTTATCGTGACTGTGTTAGTCTGAGTAGACTAGAGAAACAAATTCATGGACTCGTATGTGAATAAGAAAGGTTTATATACAAGAGCAGTTGAATATTGAGAAAATATCCCATCGCTTCTTGGCCTTTTGGCTAAGATCAAGTGTGGAGAAAATAGCCCAGTCCAGATCAAGTCCATAAGTCCGATATTAGCCCATATGTCCTATACCAATCTACGAAGTCCTCTTCAGACTCATGCAACACATGCAATGATGCCAAATGCCGGAAGGTCACAGGCCAGTGGGTGCAAAGTCAGTGGCGGTAGAAGCATCTCAACTCTGGCAGGGTCTCCATGTGGCTCCTGCAGTTCCCAGGGCTGCATCAGGGTAGGTCCATGTGGCTTTTCAGGGATGTCTCCGAGGAAGTGAGTGGAGAGAGAGAGGTGTCTCCCGCTTCCAAGGAGGTAAAACAGGAGTTCCCAGAATTCTCAGGAGAAGGCCATGCCCACCCAGAGGTCTCATTGGTTGTATCTTGATTGACAGGCCAGTCTCCACCCCTTCACTTGTAATCCTCTCAAATTGACACCAGAGTATGTAACTACCACAATGGTGTTACCTGTTGATCCAGTTGTGAGGGTTTTAGTCTTCTTTACATTGAGCTGTCATCCTTACCGAAGGCCGCATTCCTTGATCTTCACCAGCAAGTGCTTCAAGTCCTCCTCACGTTGAGCAAACGAGGTTGTGTCATTCCTCCAGTCCTGATGCCACCTTCTTCTGCATATGAACCAGCTTCTCTGCTGATTTGCTCCGCATACAGACTGGTAGGTATGGTGAGAGAATAAATCCTGACGCACTTCTTTCCTGACTTCAAACCACGCAGTGTTCCCGGGTTCTGCTCTCACGACTGCCTCAGGATCCGTGACCAAGTTCCATGTGATGACCACAGCTGTCCATAGTTGGTTATGATCCATATCGTTGAATGCCTTTGCATGGTCTGTAACACAGAAGTACACATCTTTCCGGCGTTCTCTGCTTTCATCCAAGAGCTTTCTGACATCATATGTTGCATGTCCTCCTCTGAATCTGACTTGAATTTCTGGGAAACTCCCCGCCAGTGGACTGCTGCAACCGTTGTTGAATGATCTTCAGCAGAATTTTATTTACATGTGATATTAATGATATTGCTCGATGATTTCTGCATTCTGCTGCATCACCGTTCTTTGCCTTGGGTACAAATATGAATCTCTTCCAGTCGGTTGGCCAGGTAGCTAGCAGTCTTCTATAACTAGCCGAGTACCTATAACCATAGCCTTCCGAGCTGACCTCTTTTTCTTGAATTGAACGGGCCCAGCAGACCCCCTTGGAAGCCAGTGTTTTGGTTGGACTTTTGGATCATATTAGTAAGTTCAAGATTTGTCCGTGGTTTTTATTTGTCCATAACATTGTCTCCGTTCATGTCACTCTTCAACGACTGATGGACAGATGGGTTCTTGGAGTGAGCTGAGCTATGTGTAAAGCTTGCTGAGACCCAGATCTGCGCTTCATATCGAAATTGCCGAACCACATGAGACCCCGATGTCAACAGCTGCCTCCTCAGAGGCAGTTCTGAAGTCTTCCACCCGTTTCTGGACTTCAGGTCGTTTCTTCCTCCGTTGAGGGTGACGGTCTCTCCCCTCTGGACTCATCTCCCAACTTTCCATAAGACAACAGATCCATCTGAAAACTTGTTTTTAATCTGAGGCAGCATTCCAGTAAACTTGGCACAAGGCCTCAATGATTTGAGAAGGTGTCCACTTTGATTTTGTTAGAAATTGGCTGTGAACTCCGACCTCCTCATTTTTTCCCACAGCCCCAAAAATAGATGCTTATTTTCTGAAGGCACCCTAAAGAGACGAAGGTGTGCGTTAAGGCACGAACTTGGCCGCAGCCAGCCTCTAGTTGCAGAGACATGTTTAATAAACACATTTTGTGTGGAAAGAACCCGTGCGTGCGTGATTTGAAAGCCCCAGTAGTGGCAGGTCTTTCGGACTTTACCCCGTGTTAACATGACGTTGTTTCTACATTCTGCCGAGTACTCATCACATGCACAAAGGAGCAGCTGACAAATCTCCTCTTGCTCACCTCCCGCCAGCCTGCAGGCAGTTGTCTCTCTTCTGATTTAAGAAAATCAGAATAATAAACACAAGATGTTTTATTTCATTCTGATATAACTACAGTTACTTAGTGATGGGATGTGTGCATCCCACTAGCCACTGCACAGTCTCTCAAACCTTGGCCTTAGATGGGATCCCAGGGTTGGGTTGGTTTTTACTTACGGATGGCGTGGTGGGCTCCCCTGGGGCTGCCGACTGCAAGGCTATAGCCAGAAACTAGCCGCTCCACAGGAGGACGAGGAGCCTCTCTGTTGTGGGGAAGTCTCTGTCTCAGAGACTCACAGTGGTAGCTCTACTCTGCCCCACAGTGTTGCCCTCGGTCAGAATCGACTCAGTGGCAGTGAGTTGGTTTTTGTTTTTTATTTCACGCTCATTTTTTTATGATACCACATGCCAACAATCTAGTTTTACAAAGTTAGTATACCATTGAAAGGAATTTAGCAGCCCAACTCTCATGACCCCAGTTCTGCCTTACAAATCCGGCTAGACCACAGCATGGACACTGGTACAGAAATGAGTTCGAAGCACAGGTAATCCAGGACAGATAAACACCTCAGGACCAATAATGAGAGCAGCGATAACAGGAGGGTCGGGGGAAGGTGGGGGGAGAAAGGGGGAACCGATCCCAATGATTGACATATAATCCCCCCTGCCCAGGGGGATGAACAACAGAAAAGTGGGTGAAGGGAAATAGCAATTGGTGTAAGACATAAAAAAAATCGTTATAAATTATCAAGGGTTAGTGAGGGAGGGAGGGGGAAAATGAGCTAATACCAAGGGCTCAAGTAGAAGGAAAATGTTTTGAAAATGATGGCAACATATGTACAAATGTGCTTGACACAATGGATGGATGTATGGATTGTGATGAGAGCTGTAAGAGCCCCCAATAAAGTGATTTAAAAAGAAAGAAAGTTTCAGAATCTGGTCAAAGTCAGTCGGCATGACACCATGCACTTTTATAAAGCATCTGCTTGCAGAGAACTTTTGGACACCCCAATGGTGGAATGGACTTCCTTTTTTTTAACCCCTTGATTCTGACAGTGTTGATTTTATACCAAGATGCATTCGCAAGGACAAAGTCCGATTATATCTCAGATCGAGTATGCACTTAGTCGTGTAAGGCCTGATGAATCTTTTTCATGAATATTTAGAATGGGGTAGACCGTGGTGATCCACTCTTGGAAGAGATTTTATTGTGGACTCCCTAGTTCGTTCTTTGGGGATTGTGTTTGTTTTGGGTAGTAGCAGGACAGTTAGCTTCGTTAGTGTTACCAACGCAGAGCGAGAGGCTGGCTGAGGATGGAGGCTCAGCCACGGTGTTTCCTTTGATGAGGCCTTGCCTTGGGAAGAGCATGGGCTCATCCTTCTGTCTACTGTGGGCCCTCCCTCGCCACCCCCACCCCCTCCCATTTGAATTCTGCACTGTGACGCTCATCAGAGGATGGGGAGCCATGGGCTTAGTGGGCTCCTTGGGGCGCTGCCTGGTGGTGGGGCCCCTTCTGTTCCTGTTCCCCTGTGCTGCCAAGAGGTGGAGCAGCCCTGCGGGTCAGGGCAGGGTCGGGCTCATCCGCTCAGCAGCTTGGTCGGTCTGTCTGTCTGATTTGTATCTTCCAGTTCTTTGATCTTTTTATTTCAAATAAAAAGTTCTGAGGTTTAAATTTCACTTCTATTAGAAACAGTTCTATAAACAGGATTAAGAACCTGCCTGTCCTAAGTACCTTGGGGGCACTCCTGACTGCTGGTGGGAAAACGCGGGCCAGTGCTATGCCCGCCCCCTCTTCTCTTCCCCCTGTGAGTGAAGTCTCCATGTAGATGCCAGTATAGAGTCGCTGTACAAGAGCTCTCAACACCAACGGTAAGTCATTTGCATATGAACTTACATGTTACTGAGTACTTTCTCTACGACTTGTCCTCCTTAGGCAAGAGTGCCCATTGGAAGGCACGCCTGGCAAGAATTCTGAATCTGACCTGGAAGACTTTTCAGATGAGACCAATGCCGAGACTCTGTATGGCACCTCACCCCCCAGCACACCGCGGCAGATGAAACGGATGTCAGCCAAACACCAGAGGAACAGTGTTGGAAAGCCGTCCAGCCGGGCCAACTTGAAGGGTGAGGCCACGCACTGTCTTTACATCATCTTTTTGTGACATCTAATTATCCATTGATCCTTGTATTTTAAATTTGATCTTTCTGCAGTGTGAAGGGGGCTTCAAAAGGGTTTTTTTTGGAAAATTCTGTTGTCTTTTCCATTTGTCCGTATTGATCATGAAGGAGAGCGCCATCGCTCCTGCCATTGGGATTGGGGATTCCAGTCGCTCTTGGTGATAGGGGCACAGTAGCCAGGCTTTATTACCTCACTCTAGTAGGTCAGATGCCCTAGAGTCCGTCTGCCCAGAACTGAGGAGCTGGGCATTTTGGGAGACCCGGGGGGAGGCTGCCTCCCTCAGGCCTCCCTAGCCTGACTGCCTCCGTCCTCCTTGCTGGGGACACTGTGCTTGGTACCCAGGCTCTGTTTCCTTCCGCAGCACTGGTACGAGAGGGACCCCTGCCTTCTAACCACTCAAGGGCCCCTTGACTGCCTTTCCCTGGTGTTAGTAACCCATCCTCCTGAGAGGCTCCGCCCCAGTCATTTTCATTCTCAGCAGCTCAGCCCGCCTACCAGTTGGACCAACATCGGCGTGGAAGCACAGCTCACGAAGCCTTTGGGCTTTAGATGTTCCCTGTCTGTGGAGCAGCCTGGGCTTGAACTTGGCAGTTGACGGATTTCCTTTTTTAAGTCTACCCACCTCCCCTGTTATATGTTCTCCCAGCGCCCTGGTGGCACAGTGGTTAAGTGCTCTGCTGTGAACCCAAAGGTCCAGTGTTTGAACCCAGCAGCCATTCCATGGAAGACAGATGTGGTAATCTACTTCCGGAAAGATCATAGCCTTGGGGGGCCCCATGGGGCAGTTCTGCTCATTTCTGTGGGGTCACCCTGAGTCCTTGAGTTTCTGGATCCTCTCCTCACATTTCTCTAGTGTTGCTCCTTCTCTGGCTGCCAACTTGTTCACCTTGGGTCTCTGTAATATCCCTTCCTCTGGAAAGGAGAGGGAGTACAAGAGAAATGGCTATACTCTAGTTATTCCCCACCCCCCCCACAGTTTATTGACATATAATCCACATATTGTACAATTCACTCATACAGTCACATCAAGAAGAGTTGTACAATCATCACCACTTTCTTCAATCTTGTCATCATCTTCTTGAGGGAAATCTTATTCAAAGAATGATTCCTATGTGGTCAGGAGTCTTCCTTTCCCTGTGAAGATCATTTTTTAAGCTTTATTTTTAGTAGGATAATCCCTTGGTCTTCTGAAACAGTATTGCAGTGTATCATCTTTACAACCTTTCTTCCCCTTTTTGTCACAGAAACACCTCAGTGGTAGGAGCCTCTACTGAACCAGTGATAGAAGGCTAGTTGAAGTTTGCTATGTGTGGTAAGAGGAAAGGTGCCAAGTCGCCCCCCCACCCCTCGCTTTTAATTGTTGGTCTGTAACATTTTAGAAGAATTGAGGACACTTCACCCATTTTATAGATTATGAAATCGAGGCTTGTCATGTTAAAGCAACTTCTTGTAAGGCCAGATGCTTGAATGTAGTTTAACATGCTTGACACCTGGTGCATGATTTCACGCCAGAATTCTTGTTCATAAATACTGAGGAAAGGTACCGACGAAGCATCCACGGTGGCCAGGTGGGCCACAGATGTGTCCATACTGTGGTATTTGTGATGGCATGATGGTTCTTACATGTATACTGGCCCTCAGGACAGCATGGGGGCAGGAAGGAGCACAGGCTCGGTCAGCAGGCGACATGGAATCCCGCCCCACCAACACGGCCTCTCCCAGGAGCAGACTCGGCACCGCCTCTCTGCCTGTAAAGGAAAGCCCTGCCTTGGATGCTCTAGTGAGGGCTGTGGGACTGGGAAGCATTAGCCATTGCCCTGTCATAAGCAAAAGATGCTTGTTTTCACTCCTTTCTAGCCTTCAAGTACTGAAGTAAATCATGTCATGCATCCGTATTAATATCAGTGTCCCCCTCTTCAGGACTGTGAGACTTAGAATAAATGATGGTTTTAAGTCCTGTCACTCACAAATTCTGGAGCTGGGACTCCAGCCTGGCTCCACTCTGCTAGGAGTACACGCTTCTGGGCAGTTTCTTCCAACTCCTTTTCTTTGTCTCCACGGTGTCTTTGGCCAGCAGAGAGCACTCTCAGTTAGGTCCGTTCTTCCGTCCATGCTGCTTTCTGTCTGCCCTTGTTCCTTGCCTTTCTTCTGCCACTTGGCTCTCCTTTTCCTCCCTCCTTCCTTCCCTCATTTCTCTTTCATCCTTTCCATTGACCAGAATCTGGGTGAGAATCCACAGTCCCAAATGCACTGGTGTAGATGATGAATAAGATACATGGTGTTAGGAGGCCAAGTGGCACTGCCAGGTAAGCATTGGACTACTAACTCTAAGGTTGGCAGTTCAAACCCACCAACCACTCCATGGACCAAAGATGAGGCTTTCTGCTCCTGTGGTGATGCTGTGTGAGCAGAAAGGAGGGTCCCACCCCCACAGGAAGTACACAGGTCAACACGAAGTACAACACTACGTGGTGTAAGTGGTGTAGGGGATCTAGTTTCTCACAGGAGGCACACAGATAGGGAGGAAGTGTAACAAACACAACACAATGTGAGCAGCATGGAGGGGCTTCTCTCTCACAAGAAGCACACTAGCAGGAAGTAACCACACTACATGGTGTGAGCAGTGTGGAGGGTCCTACGTCTCAGGAGGCACACAGATGACCAGGAAGTACAACACAATTCAAGGTGAGCTGTACAGGAGCACATAGTACACTGGGTGGTGGGGAATTATTGAGAGACCTGGGTTTTAGGAAGGCTTTGGGGACTGGCGGCATTTATGCTATGACCTGAACACTGGGTCAGGAAGACCCATGTTTCAGATTTGCATGTGACTCAGTCACACACGATCTCCTCAGTTATTTGAAGACCTTTTTTTTAGAATTAATTGGTCAGCTGTGTTTTAAAAGTTTTCCTGGGAAATAAGAATGTGTGAATTGTTTTCTCTCCAAGCAAAGTCTTTCTGAATCACACCATTGAATGTGTCGGGCTCCTCACTGCAAGGCCAGTGGTTGGAACCAGCAGCCACTCCTTTGGGAGAAAGATGAGGCTTTCTACTCCCGTAAAGAGTTACAGTGTCAGAAGCTTTATATACGTATGTCTTAGTTAATAAATTGTTGTCAGAAGTATAGTTTCCAAATACATCATCCCAGTTACTCGCTTGTCTTTATACTTGTGTTGGTAAGGTCTTTTGGCAAACACAAGTCATTAGTTTTTATAAGGTTCTATTTATCTTGTCATTTTCTATTATTTGTACTTTTTTGGTGCTTTTGTTATTATATTAATTAATTGTTAAAAGCTAGGCTCAACAGCACCGCCCTTATATTTTCTTCTGTGAATTTTAGTTTGTACATTTAGGTTCTTAAATCCATTTTGAATTTGTTTCTTAGCACATTTGTCAAGAAACAGTTGACCCTCAAACATGATACTGGGACAGGAGGAAAGTCAAAGGAAATAGAGGAAAGTAGGGGGCAAAGACATTGAAGGAGGTATAAGCAGAGGCATGTGCATATGTAAATATATTAATATGTAACGATAGTGATATAGTCCATGCACATATATTTTTAGGTTATATATTAAGGTAGCAGACAGACATTGGGCCTCTACTCAAGTTCTCCATCAATGTAAGAAGACTTTGTTCTAATAACCTGGCATTCTGTGATGCTCACATTTCTGACATCATTGCTGAAGACAAAATGGGTGCATAAGCTAATGTTGTGAAGAAAGCTGGTGGTACCTAGCTGTTACAAGATAGAGTGTCTTGGGTCTTAAAGGCTTGAAGTTAAATAAGCGACTATCTAGCAGGGAAGCAACAAAGCCCACATGGATGGAGCACACTGGCCTGTGTGATCACGAGGTGTTGATGGGATCAGGTATCAGGCATCAGAAGACCTAAAACAAAAAACCATTTTGATGCAAATGAGGGGGCTCAGACTGGAGACCCAAAGCCCATCTGTAGACAATTGGACATCCCCTCGCAGAAGGGTCACAAGGGGTTGAGCCAACCAGGGTGCAGTATGGCACCTACAAAACACAACATTCCTTTAGTTCTTTAATGCTTCCTCCCCGCCATTATCATGACCCCAGTCTGTCTTACAAATCTGGCCAGACCAGAGCATGTACACTGGTACAGATAAGAGAGCTCAACACACAGGATCCAAGATAGATAAATAACCTCCTCAGGACCAATACTGAGAGCAATGATACTATGAGGGTAGGGGAAGATGTGGGGGAGAAGGGAGAGAAAGGGGGAGGACTGATCGCAGTGACCAACATACACCCTCCCTGCCCTGGGGAAGGAACGGCGGGAGCGTGGATGAAGGGAAACAGTGAACGGAGTAAAATGTGGAAGTAAAACAATTCATAAATTATCAGGGTCATGAGGGACGGTGGGGGAGGGAGGAGAAAAAAGAGGAGATGATAGCAAGAGCTTAAGTAGAAAGAAAATGTTTTGTAAATGATGATGGCACCATATGTACAATTGTGCTTGTTACAATTGATGTGTGGATTGTTATATAAGAGCTCCCAAATGAAATGATTTATAAAAATAATAATTAGGAAAAAAAAAGAGTTGACCTGGGCCGAACGGGTGTGCCCCTGGGCTCCTGCATCTGCGTAGTGGTCTCTGCGCTTATTGTTACACTCGACCAGGCTGCTTCTCCGTGCTTTACTGTGGTGTCGCCAGGGCTTCTCAGGCGTACCAGACTTCTGTCTCGCTCCCTTCTTGAGTTCTAGGTGATTGCTCATATTGGGTTCCATGGGAGCTACGATTTGTAGTGTAGAGGTGCACAGCTAATATTAGGGACGAATAGTGGGGAATACTAGGGAGTACCCCCCAAATGGAATGTTTTTAAAGCTATGTTGTTTAAATTTTTTTACAAAACAACCTTGTCATCTTCACAGTACTCCCCATTGCACTTACTACATTTGTCAGATCAGTGATTCCATTCTTGGAAACATTTTTCAAACTCATCTCTTTGGATGGCTGACAGCACCTCCCTCGTTTTTTTTCTGCACCTTTTCTACGTTGTCAAATCGCTGTCCTTTCATGCCCCTCTGCGTTTGCGGAAACAAAAAGAAGTTGCCTGGAGCCAGGTTAGGTGAGTTTGGTGTGTGAGACAAGAGAAGCATGCTGTTTTTTGCCCCAAACTGGCACACTGAAATGGCTGCGTGAGTGGGCACATCGTTGTGGTGGCAAAACCAGTCCCCGTCTGCCACAAATCAGGCCTTTTTTTGTCACACACTGTTAAGGAATCTTTTCAGAACCTCTAAATAGAAAGCTTGATTAACAGATCTGATGCAATGAAGCCAAATGCACTGCAAGTCAACCTTTTTGTCTGTTTGGGACGTTGACAGACATCCAGAACGAGGTCGACGTTTCATCTTTTTTGAAACGAGAAAACTACTCATACACTTCAGTTTTTCCCATAACGCTCCTTGTAAGCTGTATTCAATATCACAATAATTCTCTGCGGCATTTTTCCTGAGCAGAAAACAAGATTTCAAAGCCACATGCTGTTCTTAAGTCAGCCATCACAAAAAACGAGGTTCAAGCAAAACTGCTTTTACGAAATAATTCACTGTGACCAGAGAGAACCTTCCCAGGTGAAGCCCCGGCATGTGCTACCTCAGAGCGAGTTGCTTGGTGCTCCCATCGCAGGACAAGTGCATGCAGTGAAAGCTGCGCCCTGCTGGGCATAAGTCCAGGTGTTTTGGGTACCCTCATATAAGGGATATAGCAGGGATTTTGTTCTTGATGCAAGGGGAAATGTTACATCTCTTTTTTGCTCCACTTAATTTTCAGAATCTGGTCTTTTGTGTCCCTCAAGACAGCTTGCAAATAAACGTGCCACGTGCACGCTAGTTTTCATGAGACTCTTCAGAGTAACTTCATGCCGTAGAGTGACATCACGCTTTGTTTCTTTTCCTAACAGAAAAAATGAGTGTGCTCAGCCAGCCTGCCCACAGGGAGCCTGGGAAGGCAGTGGAGAGTGTGGACGACCACAGCTACAAGCATGAGAAAAAGACCCGAGCGACCCTCCGGACAACGGAGCGCGATCATAAGAAACACGCCCAGTGCTCGTTCATGCTCGACTCCGTGGGCAACTCTCTGCCCAAAAAGCCCATCCAAGACGTGGACCTGCACAAGCCTTACCTCAGCCTGGGCTGCAGCAACGCCAAGCTACCGCTCTCTGTGCCCATGCCCATTGCCAGGCCCACCCGCCAGACGTCACGCACGGACTGCCCAGCCGACCGCCTGAAGTTCTTTGAGACGTTGCGGCTCCTTCTGAAGCTTACCTCAGTCTCCAAGAAGAAGGACAGGGAGCAGAGAGGGCATGAGAGTACCTCCACCTTCTGGTTCAACCGATCGAACGAGCTGATCTGGCTGGAGTTGCAGGCTTGGCACGCGGGGCGCACCATCAACGACCAGGATCTCTTCCTGTACACGGCCCGCCAGGCTATCCCCGACATCATCAGCGAGATCCTGACGTTCAAAGTGAACTACGGGAACTGTGCCTTCGTGCAAGCCGGCTTCAATGGCACCCCCTCGGAGGGGCAGTGCAGCGGCCCTCGGCACGCGCGGTTGGGGGATTGCTCCACTTACCATGAGCATCTCCAGCGCCAGAGGGTCTCGTTTGAGCAGGTCAAACGGATCATGGAGCTGCTCGAGTACATAGAGGCCCTTTATCCATCGCTGCATGCTCTTCAGAAGGACTATGAGAAATATGCTGCCAAGGACTTCCAGGACAGGGTGCAGGCTCTCTGTCTGTGGTTGAACATCACGAAAGACCTGAATCAGAAGCTAAGGATAATGGGCACGGTTTTGGGCATCAAGAACTTATCCGACATTGGCTGGCCAGTGTTTGAAATCCCTTCTCCTCGACCATCCAGGGGCCCCGAAGCAGAGGACGAGGGAGCTGACCTGGAGGGCGAGCTGGACGAGCTGAACAGCAGTGCTGAGGAGAGCGAAGGCGAGCGCCTCCCTGCCCGGAGCAGACAAGAGATCAGGCAGCCCCCTGAGAACAGTGTTGACGGGCACCCCCAGGACGGCGTGCCAAAGAAGCTTGCCCGGCGGGAGTCTGAAGAGGAGTCGGTAGGCTGGGGGGCTCCAGACTGCAGTGCAGAGGCAAGCTTCAGCCGGCACTGTCGGACCTCTATCTACAGACCCTTTGTGGACAAGGCCCTGAAGCAGATGGGCCTCCGGAAGCTCATTCTCAGGCTGCACAAGCTAATGGACGGCTCCTTGCAAAGGGCGCGGATAGCGTTGGCAAAGAGTGAGCCCCCCATGGAGGTAGGTGTCCAGTTTTTCTGGGTGCCACCTGGTGTCCCTGCCACTGGGTGTTGAATGGGGAAGTGCATCTCTGAAAAGGTGTGGAACTTGATGGATTGAGTGTCAGGTGGGTTGCAGAGTGGAAAAATCCCGCCATAGAAATAGCTGGGGGGTAGGACAGCCTCAGGATGAGTGTAGAGGGGGAGCCTGGGCTGAGTGGGAGTCCCTCATGAGGCACCCACGCAGATGCTGGATGCGGCGCCCGGAGCTGTGGCCTTGGCTCTTTCCTCTTTACTGCGGACCGGACCGCACTCCTGGGAGCATGGCTGGTGTATGTCAGAATGCCCGAAGAGCAGCAGTTCTCAACTTACGGGTCGCGACCCCTTTGGGGGTCAGACAGGGCCGCCTAACCATCAGAAAACATAAATATTTCACAATATATAATTACGTATTGTTTTGTGATTAGCACTGCTTTAATTATGTTCAATTTTTAACAGTGAAAATACATCCTGCATAGCAGATTTTTACATTACAGTTATGAAGTAGCAAGAAAATAATGTTATGGTTAGGGGTCATCACAACATGAGGAACTGTATTAAAGGGTCGTGGCATGAGGAAGGTTGAGAACCACTGGTCTAGATGCTGGCCGTCTAAGGGAAGGTTTCGTTGATGTCTGTTGATGTGTTTTGATAGGTGAAGATGTGTGTCCAAAAGGGGGTTTGATAGCTTGCTCTCTCAGAACATCCTGCTGTTCCGGGTGATCAAGCTGGAAAGGAGCAGGTAGAATATCACTCTCTGGAGAGTCTGAAAAACACAAGGAATTTCCTGCTGTGAGTTTGCACCCCGATCTTTGAGATGCCCTAAACCTATGTTGAGTTTGGTTCTGCATTTCAGTGGCTGTATGCAGGGCTGCAAAACATTCATGGAGCCTGGAGGGCATTATGCTGATTGAATTTAATATTTAGTTCAATATTATAACCAGAAAAGATTTTTATACTAATGGAAACATTCTTTGATGGCTGCCAAGGATGGGAGGGAGGGGCCCCTGGCTGGAGTAGATCTGTGTTACTTTGGAGAAGAGGAAGCCGTGTGCAACGAGAGAGAGGTTGGCAGAAGAAGGTGATGGAGGCAGAGTAAGACAGTGGGAAGTTCGCAAGAGTTAAATGTACCAGAGACTGTTGAGTACACAATCTTGTGACCGTGGTGGTGCACAACTAAAGGACTAAAGGCATGGGTAGACATCGGATCGATTTGGGAGGGCCAGTGGAAATATGCCTATGGATAAAGATAGGTTTGACGTATTTGTGTATTTACCTGTGCTGCAAATGCATTTATATATGTGGTGGAACGTATAGGGGGAAAAGTTATGAAAACTCAAAACCAAACACCTTGAGGAAATGAGTCACTGGGCCTGCAGGCTCAAGGCCATCAAGGTCAATGGGCACATAGCCAACTTAAAAAAAAATAATGTTCTCCATGCTACTTGGGTGAGTAGTGATTGGGGTCTTCAGAGCTCGTGAGCAGCCATCTAAGGTGCAGCTGTGGGTCTCTTCCCTGTCTGGAGGGAAAAGGACTGATGGAAAGCTACAGATGATATGGACGTAATTAGTGCAAAGGTCTAATGGCCCCACACAAACATCAGTCACCACCAACCACTCTGAGACCAGAACTAGATGGTGCCCAGCCACCACCACCAACTCCTGGAAGGGACCCCAGGACAAGGTCCTGGGTCGAGTGGGGAAGAAGGTGGGGCAGAACTCGAAATCATACAAGGGACTAGCTTTACTAGCTCGATAGAGACCAGAGAAACCCCAAGATTTGGCTCTCAGTCACCCATCGAGGCTGGAATAGACTCCCCCACCCCCCAAAAGTTAGAATTATCAAAAGCCATTTAAGATCAAAAGGGCAGCATTTCCCAAAATCAAGAAAAGCCAGGGAGGAGGAGGATAAGTGGTGTTACATTGAGAGGACTGCATTCAATGAGCTGAAACGATGTGTGTGAATTGTTGACTGTAAAATGGATGGTCTGCTCTGTAACCTCCCCCTAACTCATAATTAAAAAAAAAACTAAGCAGCATTCATGTGAAAATGCCATTATCCACTTTATTCTCCACATACTCTCTGAAGTCCACATTTTCCATGTTTATTTCCACATGCTCTCTGCAGTCTCCTCATGTCCGCCCACAGGTATGCATGCATATATGTGTAGGCACTTGCATGTGCTTTTTGTGTCTCAGCTTCACTGCCCAGCCTGGCCTGCTCTGGGTTGTGACGTGTGTCTTGGTGAGTGTTTCTCACCTGCGGAGAAGCCGGGTCTGCACTCTGGGGCTGATGGACGCTCCATCTGCTCTCTCAGGGGACGGCAAGAAATCGCTTGTGAAGTTCATGCAGCATATCTTGTGGGAGCGGTTTCTCAGTGGTTAATTGACGTTGCCCGTGGTTTTGATTAGATTTAAATGAGTCTGTGGAGCTCCTGTCTGTTGGGAAGAACTCTGCATGATTTTCGTGTAGGTAGGCAAATCCAACTTTTGCTGTAAGTCCCCGAGTGTCTATTTGGCCGCTAGATTTTATTGTACTGCCACCTTCAAGAGTGGGGGACACACAGCAAGACTGTGGACATGGACTGAGGGCGTCTGTCATTGACTGCCAGTGAGGACCAGCTGACTTCCTGTCACAGTGTGTTTGGGCTGGTGCCCTGTTGTCACAGACGCATGGAGGCAAAGCAGGGCTGACTCGGGACTTTCATGTCTGAGTCCTGTCTGCAAGAAGCGAGGGCGTGCAGGAGCCCTGCAGTCTGACTGCGTGCTGAGTCAGCCTTGAAGCAGAATGGACAAAGCCGGGAGGGCACCCAAGCCCTCCTTTCCTTCCCACCACCACTGCCACTGCACCCAGGGGTGTCAGTGCAGCAGTGGGGGAGCAGGCGAGCGCCCCTGTGCGTGGAAACCCAGCGTCGATTGGCGGCTGCAGCCGTCCCTGTGGTTTGGTATGGCCGTCACAGTTGCATTCCCCTGGCCTCTGTTACTGAACACGGAAGAAGAGGTGGGCTGTGCTTGGAAGAAAACTGGATCACAGACACTGTGCTTGAAGTTGGGCTCAGGAAGTGTTGCGTGGGACCGGAACAGGAAGGAGGTCTCCTTCCGTGCCAGAGACTGAAAGACGGGACCTGGGGTGACGATGACTGACCGGGGAAGGCAGAGTCGAGTCACATCCCCCTGTTGACATTTCTGTGAGGGGAGACCTGTGAGACGGGGTGTGTATCCATGTCCGTGCCCCTGGCCTGGGCTGGTCTTGTCTCCGTCTTTGCTGAGTAGTTCAGGGAAAACCTAAATTCTGGCCCTTGCCAAGCCTCTTTCTAATCACATCACTTTGGAAATGACTTCATCTTTCTGAACCTAAATTGTCACCTGTAAAGTGGCTCTGAAGTAGCTCCCTCCCTGTGAGGTTTAGAAGGAGAAGCAATATAAATAGGCAAATGCTTGACACGTCAACACTCTCACTGCCAGGGAGTCGCTGCCGACTCATAGCGACCCTAGAGCTGTCCTGGGATTTCTACTGTGTGGGAGTAAAAGGCTCATCTTCCGCCCACACAATGGCTACTGGTTTCAGACTGCCAACCTTGTAGCCCAGCGAGTGACTACTACACCACCAGGGCTTCTTGACAGGTCCAACATTGGTTTAGTTTTCAAGGTTTGTCACAATCATATTTTCTCCCCTGGATTGCATTTGCCCATTTCTGCTGGGTTGTCAGCGTTGGCAGTGCCCAGCTGTTAATGCTTGTGTGCTTTTTTTCCAAGTAGGGTGCAGGCTGTCGACCCATTGTGTCTGCTGCGAGCCTGGTGCTTGGCACCGCTTGCACCCTCGAGCGCCCCAGCCTCTTCTAGGAGCTCGCTGCAGACACACAGAGCCCAGTGCCAGCCAGGTGCTGCAGTCTGCACGCCATCCTGGTTGATTTTTTTCCAACTTTTTTTTTGCAGGTCTCTGGGTTTTGCCTATTGGTCTGATATACCCATAAGAGAATCGAGCTCTGAGCCGTGATGTGCTTATGTTGTGCCCTCTTGCTTTGTGTTCCCTTGTTAAATTTATGTCTGTTCAGGAGAGAGCGAGAAAAGGAAACATTTGTATCTCTGTGTGATGCACAAACAAGAGCACACTACCTCGAGTTCTGGAGGGGCTTTTGTTACCTTCCATACTTCACTTTAGAAATGATTGTGTAGTTATTCTAAGTTTATTGGCCAACAGAGTGTTTGTCTGTGGAGCCCACAGGAATTTGTTTTTATAAATACCAGAAACCCAGAGGAAGGCTGCCTTTTTACATCAGTGATAGTCACGGGAGGAAAAATGTCGCCCACTGCCATCTGTGGAACCCAGCTCGCAACATGCCTGGTGGACAGGGTAGACCTGCCCCACAGGGTTGTTGAGTCAGTAAATCTTTACAGGCGCAGGTGGTCTGTCTCAACTTTCTCTTGCCGAGGGGATGGTACGTTCAAGCTGCCTACCTTGCGGTTAGTAGCCTACCACTTAATCCAGTGTGCCGCCAAGCCTCCTTCTGTTTAAACTGGGAAAGCCATAGCAGCTGCCACTTGCTTGGGCTCCTGGCAGGTAGAACCAAACAGCCCTGCAGAGTGGTGCTGCCCTCACTCCGCTGTACAGGCGAGATGGTCTCACAATCAGAGCTATGCATTGTGGGCCCCAGGATTCAAACCCAGGACCCTGGGCTTCTAGACTACACTACCCTGTAGTTTCCAAGCCTGGCCATCGAGCAGCACCACCCAGTGAACTGCCTGCCATGCATCTGGGGCAGGTTGGAGTCTCCCCAGAGTGGGGCTGGAGCTGGATGGCTGGCAACCCCCCAGGGCACGCACTTCCAGCCAGGCCACTGGAAACACTAATTAGGCTTTATGATCAGTGGTTATTAGTGTAGTTATGATCGTTAGCTTTTAATTTGTTCTAATCATCTTCTGTCTGGTTACATCCATTAAATTGCACAAACTTTACTGGAGCAACAAGCTGACAAGCACATG